GACAAAGTCAGAGGCTGGTTAAACCTTGAAAAGTTCGTGTGGGTCAAAGGGAGCCAGTTCCCAGACCAGCCCAGGTCTGGGTTTGGTTTTTATCTTTTCCTGCTACCCCAACAAGGCAGGGAACAGGATCTGAGTCCCCTCAGCATTGCAAGGATTCCCCAGGGTGCACTCTCATATTACAGTGGCTTTATTTGTGAATCTCCTTAGTCAGTGGTGACCTCCCCTCCAGAGGACAGAGATTAGTTGTGATTTGGCTCAGGACCCAGCCAGACCTAGCACGGTCAGGACCACTGAGACTAGGCCCTGATTAGGACCCAGGGATCTGGCTCAGCTCTTCTGGCTCCGTCTACCTCTTCCCCACTTTTTGGGGAGCTCTGGGAGCCCCACAGGCTTGGTCATACTTACAGACCCTTTCCGAGCAAGCAGCTTCTTGGATGTTCCCTGCCACTGGGTGGGAGACTCAGAGGAGAAAATTGGTCACCAGCTTCTGCTTCAGGCGGGTAGGGAAGAGGGCCACTACTTGCATCCGCTTATTATAAGTCATCAGCCAGTTGCTTTTCTTTTCTTTTTTTTTTTAATTTATTTTTCAATTACTGTTGACATAGCAATATCATACTCATTTTTGTTTGTTACTTCAGCAAAATCACAAAGACTGAGAGACAAGTGCCTTGCTCTCAGCCCCCCGAGGGTGCTCTCAGGTCTTACCCTGTAGTCTCCTCCAGCTCAGCAATGGAAAACCTGAGCCAAATCTGTCTCCCACTTTGAAGCTCTCTGACAACCTTTTCTGCTATTAGAGGAAGAAAACTCTGATAACCTGTCATCAGGTTAGACCCACCCATCTCTCTGTCTTAAGGTCAGCTGATTAGTAAACTCAATTAAGTCGACAAAATTCTTGCCATGTAAGCAGAGGGCAAAGGTCATGAGGGCCATCTGAGAATTCTACCCATCACAGGTGCTTGCCAGGGAAGACAGTCTATGTGTTATAAACACTTTCATTACAGGATCATGCCCTCCATGCCAGGTGCCATGCTGGACACAGAGGGCAGGACACATTGAATAACGGTGTGCGCAAAAAATTTGGAAACAGGCCATATTGTGACAAGATCTTGCCTCTGAATGTGCCTTGTCAGGGATACTACAGAAAACACCCCAGGATTTCTAGATAGACTACTAGGGAGGTTTCACGGAGGTGGCATCTTAGCCGGGTTGTGCTACGTATAGGATTTCGCCAGGCAAAGAAAGGGCTGGGACCAGGAGTAAGGAAGGAGCATCTGCTCCAGGCACAATACAGATTGCCACAAAGTATGTCATTCTTATGCTGGGCTTCGTATAAAGCAGCCTATTAAGAATTATGAACGGAATAAAAGCTAACATCCATTGACTACTAAATGCCAGACACTATACTAGGTACATCGTATACTTAAGCCATTTAATCCTCAAAGGCCCTATGTGGTAGGAATTTTTTTTTTCAGCTTTATTGAGATATAATTCACATACCATAAAACTCACCCATGTACAATTCAGTGACTTTTAGTATATTCACAGAGGTGTGCATCCATCACCATAATAAATTTAGAACATTTTCATTACCCCTACACCCCTTTAATCATCACACTCTAATTCCTCCATCCCTTCCAGCCCTAGGCAACCACTTTTCTATTCACCTATTCTGGACATTTCACATAAATGTGGTCTTTTAACATGTGGTCTTTTATGTCTGGCTTCTTTCACTTAGGACACTGTTTTCAAATTTCATCCATGTCGTAACATGTATCGGTAAGGATATACCACAGTTTGTTTACCTGTTCATCAGTTGATGGACATTTGAGTTGTTTCTACTTCTTGGATACTACTAATACAGCTGCTGTGAACTTTCATGTGTAAGTTTTTGTGTAGGACATAATGTTTTCATTTCCTTTGGGAATCCAATCTTGGAGCAGACTTGATCAGAGAACAGAGCAGTTTAAATTCAGGTGTATCCAACACTGAAACTCTATACTCCTTACTTCTGGGTATATATAAAATAGTATATATAAAATAGTACAGAAGTCTCTTTTAACTACCGCCATGTTAAAATATTCATTACTTGAATACAGGGATCTTTGTCTGTTGTATCTGATATATCCAAAAAATTCTAGTGCCTAGAAGAGGCTTAACACATGGTAAGTGCTCAGTAAATACTATGTGAAGGGGACAATCAATTAATGCAGATGATTTGAAGGCAGGTGAGTGGGGTTATGGGAAATTCCTGTTGGTACCGAGTTGCACCAGACTAGGTGCCAGGATGAATTGTTCAGACTGTTGGAGCTGGCTCCAGCCATTCTTCAAGGGATATGCTCTTACCCATGCAGCTGACCTTGAAAGGCCTGTGGCCCTCGTCTCTATGGCTCTGGGGGTTCCTGGAATTCTGTGCTTAGGAGACAGTCTATTCATGGAGAGGCAAGGAGCTGCTGCATCCTCTGAGTTCATGTTCTCAAAGAGGAAACTGCCATCTGTGGGTAAGAAAAGAATTAGAACCTCAAGGCCTCAGCTTTCTTGGAAGGCATATTCTTCCCAAGTGAGATGGCCCTGTGCTATTCTGGGGCCTCTGTTCTGGGAGGGCCCATGGCTGGAGCGGGGGAGATGCAGGCCGGTAGGAGGAGGAAATCTTGTCTACCAGCCAAGACAAAGGTCTGAAGCTGGGAGAGTGTGTGGATGGAAGGCTGGCAACAGCCTTGACTCCAGGGATGACACATGAAAGGGCTCAGATTCTGGGAAAGAGCCAGCTGCTCCCTCTATTTCTAGAGAGTCTGAGAAAGATATAGCAAGCTGGCTGTCAGTGTGGAAGGAAAGCCATTCTCAATATGCTGAAATAGGGCAAAGGGAGGAAGCTGGCCAGACAGGAGGCCTGGTTTGGGTCTGGACTGTGACTCGTGGCCTTGGCCAAGTCTTTGCCCCCTCTCAGCCTCAGTTCCCTATCTCTAAAAAGGTAGGGCCCTTTCAAGCTCTGAGACTATTCTGGGGCTTAATTCTCTTTCTTCCTCTCCTCTTCTTTCTTCTGAATTGGACTCGCTAATCGGTAAGTTCCCATCCAAATCTAGTAGAAATCCTGGACTTTGATTGTTCAGAGTCTGTGCTTTCTCGACGGGCATATAGGCTCTTTTGGAATCATCTGCTAATCTAGGATTTCTGAAGAGCCAAATTTCCTGCCTCAACTCCTGCCTCCTAGGCTAATCCATTCTCAACCCCAGCCTCACTCATCCAATGGCTCATGTCCCATAAAACCTCCCACTCAACCCATTCAAATCAAATCACCGTTTTCCCCCAAAGCTGCCCTGTCTCCTGTGGTCAATGCTCATTGAATGGCATCTCCACCCACCCAAGTGAGGATGCCAGCAGCAGCAAAGCCAGATTCTGGGGAAAATACAATTGGTCGCTACCCTTTTTGGGCCTGGTTTCTCAGCAGTGAAATAAAGAGTTGCATGTGACATAACTAAAGTTGCTGACAGGCCTGAATGCTCTGCTTTTACACCCAAATTTGCCATTAGCCTA